GCAGGGTGGAAAGGGCGGGGCTCCCTTGGAGCAGAGCTGACTGGACCCGGTTCGGCCTTTTCCCAGCCACCTGCTGGGCCCTCTCAGCTCTCCTCTTTACAATGGAAACTGTGATTTAAATAGAGCGCTCCTATGGGAGTTGAGCCTTTTTTTTTTCACCCCCGGCTTGGAAGAGGATTGTGCCCTTCCTTGTACCCGATCACTTCTTGGACTAGGATCTGGGGTCTGACTCTCCACAGTGACTTGGAGAGAGATGACCATTCCAAGCTTCGGTTTCTTCATGAATAAAACGGGAGTAATAACCAACTGTCTTGATATGGTTTCTTTATACTGTCTTAAACCTACGCCACTATGTTTTTATCCCTTCCCACCAAGGATCACCAGCGACTTCCATGTTGCTAAGATTGCTTATTTCTCTGCCATAATTTTTTTTCTAAACCTGTAACTTGCTCTCATCTTATTCTTAAAATGGCGTCTTTCTCTCACCTTCAAAATCTCCATCCTTTTCCTTCGCCCTCATTCCTTTTGTACCGACAGCGGCTCCCAAGACCACGTCCACAGCCTCCAGCCTCTCCTACCTGTGCTCTCTCCTAGGTTAGTTTGTCCATCACCTGCTGTAATTTCTGCCAAGGGGCGGATGACACCCACACTCTTCCTTCATCCCTATCCCTTCTCCCTTTTATTCACATCGTTTGCTTCCCCAACGTGTACTCAACGGGCACCTCAAATCCAGCATAAACAAAATTGATCTCAGGGCATATTCACCTCACCTGTTTTTCTCTAGTCTTTTTATTTATTTAATTTTATTTTTGTGGTCCTGGGGATTGAAACCAGGGCCTTTACGCTGAACTGCACACTCAGCCCTTAAAAATAAATTAGTTAATAAAAAATTCTGAGACCGGATCTCCTTGAGTCGCTCACTTGTCACACTGAGCTCAAATTTGCAAGCTTCCTGCCTCAGCCTCTCAGAGCGCTGGGATTACACCACCACAACTGCCTCCTAGACCTTTTCATTTCAGTAAAGAGCTCCACTATCCACCAGCTTGCTGAATTTAAGACACTTGAAACCACAGCTGGTTCTTCTTTCCCTCCTCTTTCATATCAATCTACCAACTCCCATCAACAATTTCATCTGTACTTTCTCCAGCTTCACTGTAATTAGCCTAATTCAAGTCACGTCTTCTTTCACTAGGATCATCAGCTGTTCTCCCTGTTTTTACACGTTCATGTTCTATATCCCTATTATCCATTCTTGACCACACTGGAGAGAATTATTTTAAAGATCGGATCATATTGGTCTGTCCCTTAAAATCCTTCAACTGCTTCCTGTATACTTGGAATAAAATTCAAACTCCTTACTGTGGCTTAGAAAGCCCTAAAATTTGAAATCTTTCTAACACCTCAAATAGAATACTACTTATCTGGCATGTCTTTGACACATGAACCATAGTAGCTTTTGTGGTCCCTGAAAATTTCAGATGCATTTCCACCTTGAAGGCTTTTTACAAGTTTTTCTCCAAACTGCCATTACTGACTCTTTAACATCCCTTTAGTTTTTTCCAACCAAATTGTCCACCACGTTGTTTCCTATCACACACTTTAATTCTTAAATTAGTGCACATCATACACATTAAAATGTATTTAATTAGGTAAGTTAAAGTTATTTGTTAATTTCTTTTCAAATTTATTTTAAGGCCAGGGCTGAGATTGGAGGAAGGCGAGTAAGATATTTTACAGGGCAAGATTTAACAAGGGGCCAAAAAGCTGAGTAATAAAGTAACATTTTAGTGCAATATTCTTAAAATGTGGAATTGTGAAAGAATGACATATAAAATATCAAAATTTAAATGAAGGGCCAGGGATTCAGCTCAGTGGTTCCAGCACCTGCCTCGCAAACGCTAGGATCCGAGTTCAATCCCTGGTACCAAAAATAAATAAATAAATAAATGAAGACAAGTTCTGCTAGGGCTGGGATTGGACGAGCTAGATGAGGTGGCTGTTCCTCAGCTCTGTATCCCCAGCACTGAAAGGAGAAATGGAGCATAGTAGACACTCAATAAACACTGATTGTTCTCTTGCAGGAATTAAATAAGATAAAGTACTGGCTTACGGTTGTCAAAAGACTCTACCCCACTCTTGATGTTTTCTTCCACAGGAGGAAGCACGTCTGGTAGTAAAATACTCCCAGCCTTTCCAAATGGATGAGAGGTGGGTGTGGTGATTAATGAATAACCAAGAATAAGAAGCTCAGTCCAACAGGCTTTTCTCTTTCTTGGGTGCAGAGTTCCAAAGGGAGCAGCTGTAGGAAGAGGCTGCCCGGGTGACCCATTCCATTTTGTGAGCTGGTGTGTAACTCTTTGCCTGAGCTCAGCATTATGACAGGAATGCTGCTGAAACAAAAGTGATGTTTTTGACTCATTATGCTGACTCTATTGTCTTATTCCTGTGTTGATTCAGAGAAGAATGAGGGGAGATGCCTCCTGAATACTTCTACTGCCCAGAAATAGTACATACCACATAGTAAGTAACCAAATGGTCACATCAAAAGAAGGGGCCTTGGTATCTAGTCAATTGATTTTTCCTCCCTTTTGGTTTTTTGAGACCGGGTCTCACTATGTAGTTCAGGTTGGCCTTGAATTCACTATGTAGCTGGTCTCAAACTCTTGGTGATCCTCCTTCATTAGCCTCTTGAATGCTGGGATTTCAGTCATGCACCATTATACCTCACATTTTTTTTTTGTTGTTTTTCATCAATTTGGAAACCAGAGATATTAGGATTATTAAATCTATTTTATTTTATTCAATTAAATAAATCCTTTTAACCATAAGTTTTCAACTGGTTACATTTCGCTTCCAACATAAAGCCAAATGTACAAGAAAAAAAATGTTGCCTGTTGCTAAAAAAAATAGCTTTACTGGTAATGCAGTCATTTCTACCTCATGAATATTCTTAATCATGTCTAGTAAGTCCAAGAACAAAGCTTTTAAAAAGTGCTGATAAGGAGATGCAATCTATCATGTAGAAATAAAACTAAATCTTGGGCTGGGGATTTAGCTTAGTGGTTCCGGCGACTGCCTCACAAGCACAATGACCTGAGTTTGATCCCCAGTATCAAGAAAAAAAAAACAAAAACCAACTAAACTAAATCTTAAAAAAATATAATTAGAGAAAAAAATGACTACTGTTGCCTTGTGTTACTTAGGGAGAATAAAGACCTAGAGTTGCAGCCTGAGACATGTGGTGTTAACAAAAATCAGCCAGAAAATAGAAAGATTGGCAAAATGAAAAAGAAAGTTTTAAAGTACAGTTAGTTAGAGAGCCAATATCTATATGTACTGGAGGCCCAATTTTAATTCAAGTTGTTTGAGACCTGATTTGAGAGCTCAGTAGCTGAGTACAAGAAACAGTTTTGCGATGAGACTTTTGGTTCAAGTGCCAAAGTTGCTGAGAGGTCCCTATGATAAAGCATCACCTTCGGCATCAGTGTCACCTGGGAATGTGATGTAAATGTAAACTCTCAGGCCCCGCCCAGACCTGTGATCCCAGTACTCTGGGGGGGCCGAGGTAGGAGGATCACAAGTTTAAGCCCAGCCTGGGCAATTTACTAAGAATAAGACCCTGAAGGGCCGGGATTTAACTCAGTGACACTGTGCCTGTCTTGCAAGTGTAAGATCTTGAGTTCAATCCCTGGTATTAAAAAAAAAAAAAAAGACCCTGAAGAAAAAAAGGCCCTGTCTCAAAATAAGACATTTAAAAAGAGCTGAGGAATATAGCTCAGAGAAAAAAGGCCTTGGGTTCAATCCCCAGTACTGTCCAAAACAAACACTCTCCCTGGATGATTCATACATCTATTAACATGACATGAGAAGAATTTCCCTATGACACTCAATAGAGTCAAGAGGCTCACTGTCACTAAAGTGATAGGTGGTGAGGATTTGATGGAATTAGACCCCTAAAGGAAGATGCTACTAAAGAAAAGGCTGTAGAACCCAGAAGATTTCCCACCATGGCACTGTCCGAGGTCTTGCAGGGTAATTGGAAAATCACTATAGCCCTTTGAGTGGCAGGAACCCAACTTAAATTTGCAAATTAATTAACTTATTTGTAATTTCTTTTTAATACTGGGGATCAAAC